CATTTGGTTTTTTTTTTCTTATTGTCAAGGTTCATGTTTTTCCACATGTGGATATTCTGCACCAGATATGTAAAAAATTAAAAAGAAAAAACATCTACCCTTTCTGCTGGTCCACAGTGCCATCTGTGTAAAAATCTCAGTGTCTATACACGTGTGAGTTTGTTTCTGAACTTCCTGTGCTGTTGCTTTGGCCTGTTTGTCTACCCTCTTGCTACTTCTGCACTGTCTCAACGACTATAGGTTTCTAAGTCTGGATATCTAGTAATAAAAGTTTCTCTCCTGCATTTTTCTTCTTTGACTGTTCGGTCGCTACAAGGAACAGTATATATTTGGCTCACTGGTACTTCTAGGGGTTAGCTCTTTGGATGCCCCCTCTAACATGGGTGGGGCTTAACAATCCCCCTTTCTTGCTGTGCCCCCACATTTTATCTCCAGCCTTATAAGCTCTACTCAGCTTGTTGGACCCTGTCTCTTGAAACAAGTGGACACTTCTATGGTCAAACGTGCCCCCCGCCCCCCCAAGGCCAGGCTCGTCTCTAAGCTTCCCCTTCAGCAGGGTCTCGACATCATGACTCTGTAATGCCTACTGAGCCCTCCAATACCTTCAAACTAATGTCTTGTAGGTTATGTCCAGCTTCTCCAGTTCTAAGGGAGAGATTTAGTCAGAATTATCCAGTCTACTTTATTGAAGATAAAACTTCCTATCCTCCTTAATAGTTAAGTATGTTTGAAAACATTCATAAGAAGAGAATTTATTAATACAAAAGAGTGATCTCAAATCCACATGACTCTGGGCCACTCCGTAACCCCGGAATCATCAGATACTAAGGACTGCTTGCTAGTGAGGTGCTAACCAAGTGTTTGACACGGCAGCAGCCTTCAGGTCTGAAATGCCTGAGCTCAGCAGTGCCACTGACACAGAGGCAGAGTTGGAGCCACCGGAAGATGGTGACATCTGGACCAGCTCTTCTGACATCTGACCAGCCCAGACACATAAGCGGCTTAGCATGAGTACTCGGAACTCAGAAGAGGGTGAAAGATGCTCAACAGTCTGGATTTTTCCACTTTTCAAAGTACTTTTTTGTGCTGTGTCAGAAGCACTTTATACAGATGATGTGCATTCACTGTGAGGTCTTTGATGTTCTCATAGGTGGGGTTACATGTGCAGAAAGGACTATTTCAGATTTAGTTGTGGAAATAAGGTTTTCGATTTATTGTTAATGAATGCTAACATTTAATGAAGTCTCATTATATGGCAGAGACCATCTAAGAGCTTAAACCTATCATCTTATTTCATGCTCCATTAATATTTTGCCTTTAATGAAAGCGCTCCCATTTTAAAGGTGAGGATACTGAGGCACAGCCAGCTTAAGTTACCTGCCCGGGGTCACATGAGTAAATGGCAGTGCTAGGTTTTAAACCCTGGCAGGGCGGCTTCAGCAACCAAGCTCTTAACTGTTGTATTCTCCTGTTTCTCTTTAAAGAGCCAAATTTTAAAACCTGCCTCCAACTTAGGCTTCTACACTTAGCATATAAATCTCATTATTCTATGTATAAGTCTAACAAATTTTAACAACCTCTTTAAGGGAAACTTTGATTCACGGGCGATTCCATTTATAAACTTGGTTAATTAAATTCCTTTAAATGTTTAAAACTACAGTTATAAATTTACTGTGTTCTATATCCTTTTAAAGTACCTCATTTGACTGACTTAACCAACAAAAACCTCCCAGCTACTTACATCCTTGTGAAGCTAATAAATCACACTTACGAGTATGGTGACCCTAAGTTCTCCTAGATGTTTTAACCCTGTGTGTTAATTTCCCAAGCTTTCCATCTAATATCACAAGTCTAATGAATCACTCAGTTCATATTTTAAACTAAGATCACAAGTCTGAACTGTTACCACAGAAGACAAATTCTCTTAAACATTATACTTAAGGTACCAAATATCCACAGAATTCCCAACACAAAAGCACCAATTTGATTATTTTTTAAACATGTACATTTCTACTTTTGAAAACTCCTACGTTAAAAGATGCTTGCACTGGGAATCAATTTTGTCATCCTAACCAAAGTTGGGGGTTACCTTCCCAGGCCTTTCCCCTCTCCGCTACCTGAGGGTTCCTAAACGACTGGAACTGTGAATCATAATTTGACCAGACTCTTGTCTGCAACCCCACAGCATCCAGGATGAAGCCATGTTCATGGTCATCACCCATGGTTTTCAAAACTCAAGGAATGGAGGAGCCATGAAGTTCTTGTTCTCCCCGGGTTATGAATTCAGCTAATTTTTAAGTCATACAGTGTCTCTAACCTCTCCTCATGTAACCAACCGCACACTCGACTGGGTTCAATAATCTATTTGCCACTCCATTCCATTCTGATTTACGTTTTATTCTGCCTCTCTGTGAGGGCTATGCAACTCGTCTGGATATTAATGTAATAACTGATTGAATTCTGCACATCTCCGACAGCCATGTCTGACTTAAATGACAGCTTCTACCAGCAGTATTCACACACATGTACCCACACTCACCCACACACCCCAAGATATTTTTATGCCCACCTGGAGTCCTAGACAGACACAAACTATTGGTCAATTTGAATACCTAAAAGAAGCTTAAAGCTAAATATTTGCTTAGGTGAGTTGTAAGGGAGAGATATAAGACATCTGCATTATTTATATGTGAAATCGCTTTCTAAATAAGCAAGGGTTTGACTGAAGATTTGAAATGAAATTCCAGATTAGCTTGGGAATTGCAACTCAGTTGAGGCACAGTCCCCTCCCGCCCACTCTATCAGGAAAACATTTCTTTTTTACATTAAGGCTTTTAAAGACAATATAAGGGAGTCAGAAGTTCATTTTCTCTCCTCCAGACCCAACGTGTAAGCCCCTTGTATTTTCATTATCATAAAGCCCTGGTAATTGCTCGAACAGGTTCATTTATCCGGCAACCCGCGGCTTTACCGGCCTGTACCCAAAGGGCTGAAGGCGTCCAAGCCCGGGGACAGGACCCGGGACTGCTGGGAGCAGTGAAGTGGCTCCCGCATTGCTGGTGCTGAATCCACTCTGCTCTCCCCTCCTTCTGCCTGGAGCTCACCTCACCACCAGCTCTCTCAGACACTCTCCCTTCCTCCCTCCCCTCTTTCTGCTCCCTCCCTCTCCCTCCCTCACTCCAGGGACCATAACCTTGGTCGACCAACAAGCACACCCCCACCCCCCTACCCCCACCCCTGCCTCCAAATCTTATTACTGTTGCTACAGTCGGGCCCAGGAGAGGAGGATGCACGTATTGATAGTCGCAGCTGGGACTGCATAAGCAAAATAAAGCCAGCAAAATAGGACCTAGTGGACAGTCAGAGACCATGGAAAAGCCATCGATTGCTGCTGCGGCTTCTTTCCATACAGCAGAGTGAGCGCGGAAGAGCTGAACTCTGGGTAATTTCTAGCAAACAATGTGCTGTAGAGTGTTATTTGTAGGTCCTGAAAATCGAAGTGGAACCCCAGGTCCCCCTAGAACATGCTTCGTTAGTGTGGAACAAAGCGCTGGCTGCTGGCTGAGGACAGCATTTCCCATTCTGCAGCACAGTGGGGGGCGGGGGGGCAGCAGGTACAGTGGAAGCTCAGGGGGGCTGTGCTGACCAACCCCCTGTGTCAGAGAGGGCTTGGGGGCAGAGGGGAGCTACCCTCCTTCTTGGTGCAGAGGTCAGAGATGCCCGTCCTGACACTCACTGGCTGTGTGAGCTTCCACAGCTGTTCATCCCAGAGTCCTCTGCTTCCCTCCTGCTTTCATCACAGGCTCCTGTGAGGACCGAGTGGGCACAGTGATGTAAAAGCATCTATTTCACATGTACCTGTGTGATTTTAAAGACATGGCCAGCATCACGAGTGGCAGAAGCCTACACTGGGGACCAGCGCGGTCAGGCCCCAGGGGAAGCCAGCGGTGCGCACAGCTGCAGTTGTGGGCGAGTCTGATGAAGGGACACCTAGGAAGTAGAGGCGGGGTTCAGGGAAACCAGCACAGCAGAGGAAGCAGGTTCTGGAACTTGGGGAGCCCTGAGGCACTAACTGTAGAAGAAGGCTGCCCCGCAAAAGCTGTTCTTTCTTAGAACTCAGCCGCTCCAAAGGGCGGCCCACGTGGGGAGAAAGTGGGGTGGTAGCAAACACCCAGCTTCACTCTCGCCCAGCCTCTGATCTCAGGAGAGAAATGCACCGGCCCAGCCCAGAGGGAAACCAGAACTCCCTGGGCCAGAGCAGGAGAAGGAGGGTCCAAAGTGGTCCTGGAAGCGTCCAATGCGGTGCCCTGCTTTGTGTCCCCAGACACCCTCTGTCTAACCCCCTTATATGTCATTGGCCCACATTAGATTCCTTCGAAGCGGGGACTCTATCGGCGTGAGTGAACTCAACAAGAAAGAAGCAGCTGGAAGTGGGTTGCTAGAGCTGGTCCGACAGCACCAATGTCAGAACCAGAATCTCTGTGATTCTCTTGGCCTTTCTCTTTGTCACCTCGCGGTGACGTGATCCAAGCACACCCTTGTGCTAACCTCAGTGCCTAGTGTGGTCCCTAGAACATGGAGGATACTCAGTAAACTAGGACTGAGTGAAGGACTGACGGCCGATCATCAACAGGAGACAGTCAAGGGAGGGATGCTTCTCGACACGTTCATTTAAAAGGCAAATAAGCAATACCTCACATACACACACAGAGCGGCACGAAGCAGCGTCGGGCACTGAGATACGTGCAAAGACCCTGGTGGCAGGAAGCCTTCTGGTCCCCTCAGACCTCAGTCAGAAAGACCAGGACCTCTGCCTCCCCATGAAGCCCCCACCCCGAAGCCCTCCTACTCCGAGCAGCACGAGGCAGCCCCCCTCCTTCAGCCCCGGTGGCAGTCAGCCTCGGCAGAAAGGAGTGTGCGCCCAGCATGGCAGCTTTTCCATTGCACTTGGGTGTCTGCGTGCTAAAGTGGGCCAGAAACTGTGGAAAATGGAAACATACCAGAAGCGATTCTCGGACATACTCCTAGGTGCCCTCCCCCTCCTGCTGGTGGGCGAGATCTGTCCGAACACCTCCTCTCTGCCAGGTGAACCCAGAGAACAGGAACAGACACACGCCTTGAACAACCAGGAAGGGACACCGAGCCTGCCTTTGCCTGGGGCCCCATGCTCTGCTGGCCAAGGATTTCCCGGAAAATCAAACCTGCCGGAGAGGAGGGAGCCCAGAGCAGTGGACAGAGTGTCCTGGCCCTCGGTCCTTTGGCAACGACCAAGGTCAGCCCTGAGCAGCGGGTGTCGAGCGGGTCCCGTTATGTTCAGGCCAGGACAAACACAGGAAGGGTCAGTGGCAATCAGCACTGAGGTTTATCAGCCACCCTGGCAGGCAGGACAAAGTGTCCAGGAAGTTAACTGACCAACACAACTGACCTAAGAAGAGGGAACAGTGGGAGACCACTGTGTGTGTCCCCCCCCCATGGCCCCGGGGTCACTTCTAACACCTCTTGCAGCTTCGCTTGGTTTGAACGTAAATGTTTTCTTTAGCACATTAGTTTATGAGGGTCTCACTGATTATCCTAAGATAAATAACATCATTTTGAAAAACGTTTTTCTCTCCTTCATCATTTTAAATAAAGGGGACGACGCACCAAAAGGCAAGAACCCTCCTCAGGTTTGGGCTCGCTCTGGGCCCATATAGTTTGCAAAATAGATTTTTCAACTTGCTGAAAAGAGACCCAGAATCAGAAAGAAAAATGTCAGGGTTCCCTCTGCTCCTGGTGCCAATTTCCTTGAAGCTGAAAATCCATCTCGCCTGGACTGATGCGGGCTCATTGCCAAATTGGGTTGCTGTCTCCTCACTTTCCTACTTATTTATCTTCTTGGATGGTCTCCAGACCTGGCTCATAAAGGGCCACAAAGAGGTTGAAATGGGCTTTTTCCCTGGGCCAGTTCAGGGGGGTTGCGGGGGGAAGCAGAGCTGTGCTAGCCGTATCCATGACAACCACTAGTTTCCATAAATCCCCCTCTCTGCCATCAGGCCCACTGGGCAGGGTGTTCCCGTCGGTGGTCTACATAGCCAACTGTCTGCTTGCCTTGTGCACACCCTTCACCAGTCCCACACTGAGGTTCATGGCCAAACCTCAGGCTACTGGGGTGGGGGCGGGTTGAAGGTAACTTTTTCCCAGGTGTCTTGAAGTATCATTTCTTATTTGAGTCATTTCCTAAATGCCTGTCAGCTATTTGAAAGATAAATTTTGGGGAAATGGCTTCTATTCCGATTATATAAAGTGCCTTAAAGGCACAGACTTCAGCTTAAACCAGGTTTTCGTGCCCCACACTCGGGATCAGGCCTGGCGTCCTGAGGCAGCCTTGCTGTGGGCATCGACGCCTGAACCTGGGCTCGGGCAACTTGGAGGTGAGCCCAGCTCTGCCCGGGCTGGCCACTAACTGAAGCGCAGAACAGGCCAGTCACTCCTGCCCCTCACTCAGCGGGGAGCTGCTGTGAGGACCAAATGAAACCATGACTTAGTTGCCCACGGGAGGGTTTAGAAAACAGCTCCGGAGAAAACAGGTCTTGGGGTTGAGTGAGCAGCAACCAGCCTCTCATGATCTTGGGGTCCAGGAAAAGCTCCCAGGTAGGGACACCCAGCTTCTTCCAAGTGCGGGTCTTGTATCCACAGAGAAGGTGCGAACGCTCAGGAAAGTCTTAAATGGAAGTTCTGGAAACACCAGGTTCACAGTGTCACTTCTCTGCTCAAAAGCAACCCATGGTTCCAACTATGTCCCAAACTCTCAGGTTCGACATGCAAGGCCCGCCCACCCGGGGTCTCCCCCGCGGCATGAGTCCTTTGCCGGTCTGCTCCTGTCCCCAGAAGACAGCCCTCCTTCCCACCCCTCTCCCCGACACCTCCCTCTCAAGGTCCAGGTCTCCCCTCACCCCTCTTTGTCTAGGGCATCTGCTCCCACCAGCCCCCTGCACCTGGATCTCCCCTTCCCCTGGAGCAGAGCACTTACATCCCCCTCACAGGCAAACACTACCCACTGCCCCCACTCCGGGGTGTTTGGAGCTGAGATTCAAATTGAACTTTTTCTGAGGTTCTACTATGTTTTTCAAAGTAGGTTAGGAACTTCTCCGGGGGCAGGAAGTGTGTTTAATTTCTCCTCGTTTCCCCTGGCAGACAGTAGGTGCTCAATCCATGCGCACTGAGTGATCAATATGAAAATCATCCCATCTCTAGAAATTTGCTCAGATCCCAAAACATAAAGCAGAAAACATGAGGGCCCCCATGGCCTGGGAAAGAACCCGTACCTCGATTTGCCCACCTCTTTACCCACCTCCGCAGTGCCTGAAATGACTCTAAGTAATGCTTTATTGGTAACACTCTGTGCTCAAGAACTAGAAATGCAAAACTACCGGCTTAGTCCTCATTCTCCCTCTGTCTCCCCACTCCCTCTTTCTCGATCCCCACTTTCACCTACTCCAACATAGCTGTTCGCTCGCAACTTTATGTAGCTTAGTAATAATTGCTAAAATTTATCAAGCGCCTATGAATGCTTACAACTGTGCTCACCACTTCCCATGTGCTATTTCACCTGTTCCTGACGGCCTGTTTCCCACTTTACAGGGACTGGAAAGTAGCAGTGAAGTCCCTGCCCAGAATCAAGTACTGGACACATGACTTGACACTCCCCCATTTCGATCTCGTTCCAAAAGGCCCTACTTTAAAACTGCTGCAAATTACAAGGCGGACTCCTCCTCTCGGTGGGGCCTGGGCAGCACAGACTACGTGCACCTGCCCTCCATAGAGGTGACCTTCATGCACCTTCCTCTCCACACAGAGGGGAGCCAGGAAGTGACCCTGCACTGCAGTTCTCCCCGAGGAGGCAAGGACTCAAAGCCGCCCGAGGACACGCAGGAACGGCCGATCGATTCACTTAGGGGGCATCCTCATTAGTGCCACACCATCGGGGGGAGTGGCATGCTCATGTGACACTGCTGAAAACTCACTACTGACCGACGGAACACACACCACACCCACCCGCACTCCTCCACACAGCCAGGGCCTACTGAGTGCCCGCTACACTCCAGGCACTGCACAGGGTCATCGGGTAGAGAATAAATCATCGGCCTTGAGGTGCTCACTAGCTAGTGAGACAGCAGACACGCAGACACACAACCACAGGGCCAGATCGAGGGGTGAGCCGTGTGGGCGGAGCCCTGCAGGAGGGAGAAACCAGTGGTGCCCGGGAGGCCAGGGGCAGCTCTCCTGAGGCCTCTGGGGTCCTGTTTTCCAGCCTCACGGGTTTTCATGCACGTTCGCATTTGACACCCAAGCGCCTTCCCATTCCCCCACCTTCCTTCCTCCACGACACTGACAGATCCCCTGCTCTCCGGAGGAGCAGGGGAGTTTGACTGGCAGCTGCTCAGCTGGGAAGCTCTGGGAGCTGCCACGGAAAGCTGACAGCAGCTCTGAGTGTTCTGGAGGGAGCATACCCGTGGGAGGGAGGGAGTGAAAGGCAGGAGGAAAGACTGGGGGTGGGGGCGAGTGCACAGAATACAGCACTTACCTGGGAGCACCTGAAACTTCCCTCTCTCTCTCTCTGTCTGGGTCTCTGGGTCTCTGGAACATGTGCTTCCTGGTCACTGCTGGAAACAAACAAAAAACCTGATACGTTAATATACACACTCAAATACATGTATATGTATGTATACACACATATATACATAAAGTACAGGGGTGGGCAAAAGTAGGTTTACAGTTATACTACAAATAAAGAATCTGATATTTAGTAAACAATAATACAAGAACTCTGTGTTTTATGTACTCACAGAGACTGGAAACCTACCTTTGCCACACCCCTGTATATACACACATATACACAGATATACACAGACACACATATATATACACGTATGCACATACACACAGCAGCACCTCCCACTTCTACACTAAGCTCGGTGCCCTTCATGCTGCCCTTCCCTCTATGCACACCCCAAACTGGTCAAAACCCCGACCGGAGATGGTGTGGGATATTCTCTGGCTTTAAACCATCTGGAACCCCTCCGCAGGCTCCCCTAGTCCCTGGTCTAAGAAGCCATTCTGGGAGAAGTTAATTCAACACAGATAAGCTTGTGATGATGGAGGGCAGAATGAATCAATCGAAACATTCATATATATTTGATGAATGAGAACCTTGAATGAATGAGTAAATGAACCTTTACTGAGGTCCTCCTATACACCAAGGCCTGTGCCTGGAATGTTTGAGAGGATTACTTATGCAATTCTCAAACTAACTTTATGATGTAAGATTTTATCTTAATTTCAAAAGCAAATATTTTGAGGGTCACAGTGGAAAAGTTTCTTTTCCGAGATAACATAAGAAGGCTAGTAAGTGGCCAAACTGACATTTAGTGGATTCTCCATTGTTCTGTGGCTGAAACAAACCCATGCGTTCTGTTGGATGGTAGTGGTCACATACACAAGTGCAGAAAACCAGAAGTATCTTCAAGTACCTATGTGTCTTGGAAATACAGCCAGGGTATCTTCAAGAAGTGCACTTGAAGAGCGCGCTAAGGGTGGAGAGGGATGGTGTGCCCCTCAGACACAGTGGGAGTGGCGGGCAAGTACACCATTTTCAACAGAGCAGACGATGGAACTGCTTGCAGGGATTCAGGGAGGAGGGCTCAGGTCCTGCCTGACACAGGCTGTATGGGAAGCACGGAGTTTGAAGCTCAGAAGAACGTGGTGGTTTCTTAACAAGGACCAGGTTGGTCTGGGGCAGGTCTGGGGGAGCAGATCAAGGAAGGAGTGAAAGAGCAAGCCCAGAAATGGGCCCATGGGCAAAAGTGATTCGCTCTCTGGCCAAGGCAGCATTTCAAGTTAGTGGCCACAGGATGACTTAGTCAATAACCAGTTGGGGGACAACCGACTAGCCATTCACTAAAAAGAAAAGCAATATGTTGGCTTTATACAATGCACAAAAATAAATTCCAAAAGAATTAAAGATGTACATGAAAATAACTCTAAAAAAGTATGAGATAATATAGGTGAATAGCTTATCTTAGAGGAGAACGCTTTTCTAATTTTACTTGCAAAGGAAGGCCTGCAAATAGAACTGGTAGACTCGACTCCATAGCAATTTTAAACTCCGGCATGTCAATTTAAGGACCATTGAAGTCTAAATGACAAAAGTAAACTT